ATTAGATCACGATGAATAATACCTCTTCATGTAATATTAAAACTTCATTTTATTTTTGTCATTCTGATGGGCATCCGTTCAAAATATGTCGTGTCCTAATTCAAACCTTGACGGAATAGAGAAGGCCAAGAGAAACCATAACGTGATCAAGATTTGATCATATTATATTTTCGTATAATTTAATTAAAATAACGTATCATATTGCTTGTGAAACTCACAGAAGAAGAGCTCTAGAAAGACTTTGTTGTAACAGTAAATGCTTAATTTTTACCGGTCTAAACACATTTTAGTATATTATTAAAGCTAAGTTTATGAAACATTTCCTCTCAGTTGACCTAGTGAAGTAATTGGTTACATTTTTCCATACTAGTCTAACCCAGCCAACTGATTCAACGGATTATTGTTTGTGAAAATGAAATATTTTCAACATTTGTTAGGTTCATATGTGTTGAAGACTGAAGTGACAGCGTAGCATATTCGTAAATTATTCATGTGGTTTTAATCATCATAACTAACAAACAGCTTTAATTAAGCACGTTATATTTGTCAGGGTAAAATAAATGGACATATACAATAACGTATCTGTTAACAGTTCAAAGCAGATGTACGAAAGCGTAAACCGACTTAATTTTGTCTCAAAATTGACTAGCCTAACTATAAAATCATTCTCGAATTTAAAACCACTGTACTGGAAAAATCGGTTTCTTTGGAGAGATAAATTTGTGAGGGAGACAGATGACTTTCTGTCAGACACTGAAAAATATACTGCTCGTTGTTACTCGTATGCACAGTTCGAATTTTTGGACGTGTCCGCTGTGCGGCGTCTGATGAGAAGTGAGGAAAAGGGTAGGTCCGTTGGGTTAATTATGTAGTTTAGTTGCAGCTGAACTAACTCTCACACCCCTGTAATTCCTTACGCCTGTTATTGGTCTCACACAAATATAAGGCGCGTCGTGTTTACAACGGCCACGTGTAAGAAATCCGACTGTACTTTTAGTGAGAGAGAAACAGATGAGTTGCGCGCCGCGACGCCTGATGCCGTCCACCCGGTAAACGATAAGATATTAATAAAGGAACGACGTAAGATTTTGTACTCAGAAGTACTTACGTGTTATTGCTGCAATTCCTTTAAATTTCACAAAGAAAAGCTGAACGAAGACAAATGTATTTAGTTCGAAAGTTTGTCTTAATACTTCGGTGGAATAACAGCAACATATTTTTACTTTGAAAACAGCAATGCCCTCGGATCATTCCTGCCCACCTGGCTTCGTTGTCTTTTTTACTTTCATAATTTGGAAGTAAGCGGAAGGAAAATTAATTAATTTGAATTATACTTAATAAGTTTCTTGTAATGGTACAAGTGTCTTATAGGATCATTTAGAGAAATGTTGTGTTTTTCGAAAGGTTTTTATTTATAAATTGTGTGGGCTTTAACTTTTTCTGTTTAACAATTTCGATTGCTCGTAAAACAGTTTTATTTATTTTGAAGTTCTTGTATCCGTTAAATGTGTGACTAACCAAACACTGTGTATTATAAAACTAAGCCGAATTCAACGTCACCTAACATTGTGTTTAAGAATTTTAGTTAGCATTTCTGCTTTTTATTCGAGAGTCCCCGAATTCAAATCGGCCGGAATTTTTTCATTTTATTAAGACAGATGCTGGTAAATGTTTTAAAAAGGCCACGGCCGTCTCCTTCCATGTCCTTTATAATTTATCATTCATCATTATCCTCCCATTTGGTCCCATAAAACTTATGAACTTCAGAAAATTGTTAAATAAATAAATAAATAATTATTTTAATCAGTCTGTATGTACTCGTACCAATATAAGCTGCAGGAAGATGACTTGTGTGCTTCTTCATGTGGGTGGCTATTCGAGATTATTTCAGATTTCATCATCCATTGCATATTTATTCTTGTAACAAGGACTTGCTTTACGATGTTAACTTAATTCTGATCTTCACAGACTTTACTATGGTGAACTTTACACTTTACCATTTGTATGAGTACTACTTAATTTATCTGCCTATTTCTGTCTAGCATGATTTTCAATGGAGCTATGTCAGGGAGGCATTTTATTGATTAACTCGTTGGGATAGTTTGACGTCTGTTGGACGTAAGCCAGTTTCGGTGTAGTTAGCTAGTTTGACATATGTGGGATTGAATTAGTTGGGAGTCGAAGTAGTTGAATTATTGGACAATAATTGCAGTTTATATGTATGGAAGATATGTGATTATTTTAAGCATTTCTGTTGTCTTTGAATTAAGTACAAATGTATTTTATCTGGACAAAGTAAAAAATCCTTCATAGAAAAATAGTTTGCTATTGCAATAAGTACATTTCTCATGTTGTGCACCGTAAATTTAATTATAATTAATGTCAGACCAAGTTTAATATTCCTCACGTAAGTCTATCTCTATCTTGTCTTCAGTTCCACGTTATTTGCTGCCGCATTCAGTTCAGTTCAAGATTTAATTTTAGCAAACTTTATGTGTAATTATTCTACGGTATGTTGATGATCCAAAAATTTCACAGTGCTTCCTTATTCACAATTATAAGCACAGATACGTCCGACATGTTAGTGAAATGCGCTTATGCGTGCTTTTTAAAAATTTATTGATTTTGTAAAATCAAGAATCTTCGTATAATATTAGTAATGTCCTTCGTTGAAAACAGGACAAACTATATTAAAAAAAAGGAATTAATTTGTCGGAAGTGAAAGTTGTGCCAGGAATTCTACAATCGTGTATCATAAAAGTATATATTAAATTCTCCCACAACTTCATTCTAATTGATTTTTTCACCATAAACATATTTTTTAAGAGTGTAAATTATGAAGTCTGGTTTGTGTACATTTTAGTATTTGACTGTACATAATGATAATAATAATAATTCAATTACTTTATTAGAGTTTTGGCGAGATGCAAAGAGTCTATGACAGGCTGATAAAAATATAACAATAAATGATGATAATGATAATATAGTTATGTATGGATAACAATATGCATACAATGTAGGCGAGAAAACTTATGTAGGCTATGTGAGATTTCTGGTTCTCGCGGCAGCGAATATGAAGAATACTGTCTTCTTTAGTGTTGTTGCACCGTTTCAGAGGTGTTCGCCTTGGTGATGGAGGCAGCAAGCACCTTTGAAACGTCGGTTTACTTCTACCAGACTACGCGGCGGAACAACCCAGAAGAGGAATTTTCTTATGTAAGGTATTTCAACAACGGAACACTCGGATTCAGTGTGCGAACAGAATAACGCAAAACATTAATTTGGAAGCATTCAGCGCAGACAGGACAGAGAGGTTCTGACAAACAAACCGGATAAAAGATGGAAAACATAAAAGAGGAAATATTCTTCTTGATTGATGTTACTATTCGAACCGACTGAAATGCTGTAAAAAGGAATCTAAAAAGGAGCTTAAATGTGAGATTCTCCGCGTATAAAGTAAACCATGCCTTGTATGGAATGTTACGTCATACCAGTTATTGATGTAACAGGAACTGTGGAAAAGCGCGACGAAAATGTCTGCTATGTAGTGGACCCATTAGAGAAGACGTGCATGCACGAGTCTCATTGGATAGGGGGATTTTTAATGAAACTGTATTAACTGCAGTTGTTATTTAGCCTCGATCGAACAATGTGCTGGGGTGATGACGTTCGGTGAATTTGAACGGTTTGCGAAGGAAGCCACTTATTTCAGGGCATTGTCCTAGTAATTGCCTGAAGGACTGAGGAAAACGATGAAACACCTCCATCCCGATCATCAGTGTTCCTTATGGGGGTTTGAACCAGGTATGTCCTAGGTACTAATCGCTCGAGTCATCTTGTGCTGTAGATAACAGAGAAAGGAAAAGTTACAGAAATCCATTTACTTTACATTCCCAGTCCCAATAAGTAGTTTAGTTAGTATTACTTCGGCGCAATATATACTTAGTGCTTGATTTTTGGTTTTTGTATGTATTCTTATGATATTTTTATTGGTCTCCTTTTCTTTCGTCTGAGTGTACGCCACCTCCCACAGAGGCATTGTTTGTGGTATGCTCTCTCATTCTAGTGACTTTACGTCTGAAATTAATGAGTTTATCGTTTAATGTAGTCTAGGGTTTTCAGTTTAATCTGTTGTGTTCAACGAATTATAAACTGAGATGAATCATTAGTTGTTTCAATATGTCCATATTATTCATTTTATCTAATAAAACCTTACCACAATTTTCCTTATAGAACTTATAATCTCTCAGTCCGCTTTCATATTTTCTTTTATTGCGTAGACTTTACAGGCAAAAAACAAATTAAACCGTGCTTGAGTTTTTTTAAATTAATGTATGTACGTATTTACGTAGGATGTTAAAAATGGAGGGCATTATTTTAGAATACTTTCGTTGTTTGATTGACAATGCGTCTCAGGCCTGTAGCGATCATCGCCCTAATGATGGAGTCAGCAAAGACCTCTGAAACGTCGGTAAACTTCTACCACACTACATGGCTCTACAACCCAGAAGACAGCACTGTATTTTGTTGCTACAAATATTATGTTGTCTACAGAAATCTGCATGCAGTGGATTTTGTATCTATTTCTTTCCAGCAGTGGTACTTGCAATATAATGATGATAAAATACCACTGAGAGTGTGGTATTATTTTGATAGATGATTTGTTTCAGCCAACTTATTTCCAATCAGTAAAAGATGCATGCTCCTACAGGCTAGTTGTACTTCCTAATTCTTACTTTTTTTAAGGTATGGATGAATTTACCAAATACGAATTGGTAATAATCACAGTGGGAGTGGTTCGTTGTCTAGTTTTAAGCCACAGTCCTATCATTTATCTGAAATAAGAAT